AGGGAATAGGTAATGTTGTGGTTCTGGTCTGAAGCAGACTGTAGTCAGAATTCCCTTTTCCTCTGGTAAATTGTTCTTTCTTAATGCCATCAACGGATTGGATAAGGCCCACCTACTTTGTGGAAGACAATTCACTTTACTCAAAAAAACTAGTTTACATTTTAATTTTTTAAAAATTCCTTCACAGCGACTTCCAGACTAATGTTGGATCAAATATCCATGTACCATGACCTAGCCAAGTTGACACAAAATTAATCTCTGTGGGCTCTAGTTTGTGACCCCCATTTAAGGACTGGAAAACTGAAAATTTCTATAGTGACCAATGCAGTTATGTAAATGAGAGGCCTCACTTCCTTGCCTTGAGGGGGAATGGGGTCTGGGACTAAATGGAGAGTCCTACATTATTGAATCAGGGTGACCCACGCTTGGCCCCAGTTCATGCTCACCTGGGAGTGTGGTGTGTCAAGAATGCCAGACATGCCAACTTTTTTTTTCCAAAACATATTGAAATCTGAATTTCTAGATGAGAGTTATTATTTCTATAATACTGGCAACTAATTGCATTTCCTCAAACATCGGCAGGGTAAAAAAACCTGAGGTAAGATGTGTTCTCTGGCAGTTCATTGGCACCAGTGACCTGCCTGATCACACCTCGTCTGTCGGCGTCCTTGGTTTATTTAACCATGGAGCTTCGAACAGTAATGGTTGTTGTTTTGTAGAGGAGGTAGTGAGTTCTAGGAGAAGCATGAAGTCTCTACAGATCCACAGCAGTGCTTTTCTCACTTCAGCAAATGGATCAGAATTACCTGCAAAAATGCAGATGCTGAGCCCATCCCTCATTTCTGATTCAGTGGGCACCAGAGTTTGGATCTTGAATGTCTCTCAAAGACCCACGTGTTGAAGGCTGAGTCCTCAGCTTGGTGCTCTTTGGAGCTGGTGGAAACTCTAAGAGGTGGAGCCAAGTAGGCCTTGTGGTCATGGGGGGGGGGGGGTAACCCGAAAGGAGATGGTGGGACCCCTGCATCTTCTTCCTGTCTCTCCTTTGCATCCTGGTCATGAGGAAAGCGGCTCTTTGCTCTGCCATACTCCTTCCCCATGATATGCTGCCTTGCCACAGGCCCCACAATGGAGCCAGTGGATCATGGTTGAAACTTCCATGAGCCAAAATAAACCTTTTATCTTTATAAATTCATTCTATCTGGTATTTGTGACAGTCATGGAACGCTGACTCACACAGGGGGCGTGGAGTGGAAATTGGGTCGTTGACTTCTACCAAGCTCCCAGGTGATGCCGACACTGCTGCACAGACAGCAGACTTTGAGATCCACTGGTCTAGAGGAAAAGTAAGAACTTGTGTGGACAGCATGGGGACCACATAGCAACAAGACAGGGCAGAGCCTGCAGAGAAGATGCTGGGGAATTGTCATCCTTGTTTAGCATACGGGGTCACACAGGGGCTGGGCTGTTCCCTGGGGTTCTCTGCAGTCCTGTCTCCCTCTCTGAGATCCTTCTCCTTTCATCTCCATAAAGCCAGCATGAATGGTGGACTGTGTAGTGGAGGCATCTCCTATGAGGACACCCTGAGGGTCCAGAGACTGGGAATGAGTCCCCCTGTTTTGTCTTTGTCTTTGTAAAACATAATACGGGTGGTAGTGACGGTTAAGTAACGACGTAAGTGTATTTAATGCCACTGAAGCTGCACTTTGAAATGGTAAAAATGGTGCGTCTTGTGTGAAATGTACCGTCATCCCTTGATATTCATGGGGACCGGTTCCAGGATTCCCCTCAACAGATACCAGAATCCCCAGAGGCTCAAGTCCCTCTTGTGAAATGGCAAAGAATTTTCGTATAACCTATGCATATAGGCCAGTAGGCTTAAAATTATCTCCAGATTACTTATAATACTTCACACAATGTAAATGCCGTGTAAATAGTTGTTATACTGTATTGGTTAAGTAATTATGACAAGAAAAAGAAGTCTGTACATGTTTAGTGCAGACATGATGTTTTTTCCTGTATATTTTCTCTCAGAGGTGGGTCGAATCCATGGATACAGAACCCACGGATATGGAGGGCAAGGTGTATTTCACTACAATAAAGTATGTATGTGTGTGTATATATACATATGTTTATAAAACTCTGGAGTAGACCAAAATCACCACCAGAGATGCTGAGGGATTGGGCACTGGGGATGTGCTAGAAGGAGGAGACATGGAACCCACTCACCATTCTACAGATGAGTGGACCAAAGCCCAAAGGCCATCCGTGCAGTCAAGACTGGAATCCAAGGGGCTTCGCTTGCAGTTGAATGCTGTCTACGCTTTAGCATCCAGGACCCAGCTTGGTGCCTTGTTTACAGAAACCCTTGGTGGGTTGGCTATGCCTCCCCACCTCCTATCTAAAGAAATAAATTCATGTCCTAAATCCCAGAGCCTGTGAATGTGACCTTACTCAGAAAAAAAGAAAAATGGAGTCTTGCAGATATAATGAAATTAAAGATGTCTGACTGGCGTTGTGCTCAGTGGTAGAGCGCTTGCCTCACAACGTCTGAGGCCCTGGCTTCAATCCTCAGCACCACATATAAATAAACAAATAAAAAATAAAGGTATTGTGTCCATCTACAACTACAAAAAACATTAAAAAAAAAGATGTCAGAATGAGATCATCTTGGATTATCCAGATGGGCCCTAAATCTAAGCACAAGTGTCCCTACAAGAGATTTTTCAGAGGAGAAGCCCAGATATGGGAAGAGGAGCAGGCCAGGGGACAATAGAGGCAAAGAATAGATTGATGCAGTCACAAGATGTCTGGAGCCACCAGAAGCTGGAAGAGGTCAGAGAGGCTTCTCCCGGAGCCTTTGGAGGGAGCATGAACCTGCCAATAACTTGCTTCTGGACTTCTGGACTCCAGAATCATGAGAAAATAAATCTCTGTTGCTGTAAATCACCCAGCTTGTGGTAATTTGTTACAGCAGCCTTGGGGAACTAATACAGACTCTATAAATGGCTGAAAAGGGAAGAGGGGAGGAAATGGTGATTTTGAAGGTGACAGATACTATAGAAAAAATTTGCCCTGAGTCTGAGTTTCTCATAGCTAAGCTATCCTCTCCAACAATGGCAAGATTGTCACTTCTATATCCCCAGACCAAGAGTGTCATCTCAAAACTTCTCTGAATCTTCAATTGCACCATCCTCCAAGTCACTTACTTGACTTCCACTGGGATCACTAGGAAACAGCCAGAAACACAACCCTCTCCTTCCAAGCAGATGCCCCACACCATCCCTGTCCCCCCAAGAGGCCAAAATTGGGATCCCCAAATCACTCTCCCTGGGTGGGCTGCATGCCCCCTCTAGGAAAAAACTAATTGTGGCACAGAGTTCCACAGAATTCCTGCACCCTTACAGCGGGAGGGAGGCCTGCTCTGTTGTCCCACCCAATCCAAATGGAAGTCAAGCAACACCCCAGCTCCCCTGTAGGAAAGAGGCTTTGCCCCCCCGGGTGGCTTTTCCTCATGCCCTGCTGTGGCTAGTTTGGGTTCAATGATGTCTTTTCTTCAAGGCTGAGAAATAGAAAATGAGAGCTTCTCCCCAGCTGCCCTTGGATGCAGCCAGCAGTCGGGTCTCCCCACCATCCGCTCTGGCAGGGCACCCATCAGGGTCTCTGCAGCTGAGTCATGATGCAACTGGTCTTCCTCATGCTCATCACCCCCTCTGAATTAGGAGAAACCCAGTTGCAGGGTCAAATCGGGCACTCACAGTGATCAGAAGGTCAAGAAACACGGACTCAGAAGCACCACGGATGCCCCTGGTGCCCTCTCCAAGGAGGCTCCGTCTCCACGGTCTGCAGGCGGCAGGCTCCTTCCCAGGAGAGGAAACCCTGGCAGCTCCAGCCTGCCCATTCCTTCCCGCCCACATGCGGTTTACCTCATGTTCTCAGAATTTCCCAATGAGAGAGGACAAAGATGACCTCCAGTCCATCTCAGGAAACGTGGTCTTGGCCAGAGAGGCAACAGCCTGAGGGGAAAAAGGCTCACTGCCACTCAGCTCCCCAGAAAGCTGGAGAAACTTGGGGTTCCAAATGCAGAGCCCCCTGTCACTCCCACCTCCAAAAAAATGCCACTGAATTTTAAAAGAATTTCCCACACCCAGAGTTTCTGTCTGTCTTTGAGTCTTTCTTTAAATTACAAGCCAACACCTTCTGAATTTTTCCTTTGGTCTGGAGATACTTGCTTTGCTGACAAGCAACCCAGCAACGCTGTCCCCACGGCTCTGTGCTCCACCCCGTGCCATCCAGATCCTCTGCCAGCCAGCAATGAGACAAAGGGCATCCTGAGCTTGGAAATGAAGCTGCAGCCTGCAATGTGGGGTCTAGTTCTTGGGTCAGAAAAATCCAGGGAGGAGCCCAAGCCAAGACGGGCTCCTCTCTTCCTCCTCCTTGCCTTCAGCCTTGTCAGTAGCTTCTCCTCAATGAGTCAGGAGGATGCCCTGAAGACACTCCAAGATGGCTCCACTACCTGCCCCTCTATGCAGCCAGATCCCCCCAAATCTAGCATCCTAGCACTTTGCCCAGCTCTGCAAATTGGGAATGAATTTGAAATGGTCTAACACTCTTGGTAGCACTCTTCAAAGCGTGAACATTCCTTCTCCAGTTAACCTGTCCTTTCCCCATCTCCACTCCTCCGTGAGCCAGAAGCTCAGAAGGATGCTATGCTAGTTGCTCTAATGTCTGCCAGTTCTGGACTTTGGCCCTGGCTCAGCCCCTGGAGAGCTGTATGGGCAGACCTGAGTCAGGGACCTGAATGGTGGTCCACATACTTAGTATTTAAACATCATAAATAAATGAACTGTTCAATTCAATATGTTCCAGGTTCCTGCCTTGACCTATATCCTTTCATAAGACCTGGGAGGCCAGGTTTGAATTTGGAATTCTAGGGTTCTGCAGAGTTCCTCTCCAGACTGGAGAAGCATAAAGAGAGCTCACCCAGGTGGTGTGGCACAGCCCCTCACCTCTCCCCCAGCAATCCTGTCTGCCGCTGCAGGCGCCTGCCTTGTGTATCAGTCTCAAGTCCAAGTTCCACCCACACTTCCACAAAGATCTACAACTTGGCTGCCCTTGCACCTACATGCTCTAGTCTTTTGAAAGTCAATTTAACCTTGCCAACCTCTAGCTTCCTCAGGTTTGCCTCTGCAGAGGCAGTTAACTCAGCAAAGGAGGGATGGAGGTGTAGCCCAGTGTAGAACATGTGCCTAGCCTGCCCAAGGCCCTGAGTTCCATGTCCATCACTACAAGGGGGAGAAAACAGCAAAGGGCTGGCTCAGGAAGCCAGGTGCAAAGGCTCTGGAGGCTGAGGCACAGGGGCAAGTGTTTGCCACCCTCACCATCTCCCCAAGTGTGGTGGAAAAGATTCTGAGCTGTAGTTAAAGGCACCTGGATGTCAGTCATTAAGTGTGAGACCTTGATTGGGCACTGAACTCTTGGACCTTGACATAAGCTTAGACACTGGGTACAGCGGCTCCTCCCTGAGGATATGAGGAGTGTAAAAAAGCCACGCTGTGTACTTTAAACTTGCAAGGTCTGGAGATGGAGTGATCTGCAGGGGTCATATTCCTGCTAAAGTCCGATATAGCCTTAATATGATCCTGTGGAAAGGCAGGACGAATGCAAACTGAAGACTATTTTTCAAAATAATAGATCTGAGGTCTTCCAAATGCCAAGGTTGTGAAGGACAAAGAAAGGAGACAGGGAACCCAGGACAGCTGAGCTTAATGCGTGATCTGGGATCAGAGGAGGTTTCTATATGGAATGTTACAGGGACTAGCAGGGAAATGGGGGCACTGGACGATAGCTCTGAGGTCAGTGTCCTGTCTCTCAAATTTGATTAATTGTGCTGAATTTACATAAGAAGACACTTCTTATAATGCACTAATAAAAACAAAACAAAGAAGATGTTCTTGTGTTTAGAGGCAAAGTGGCAGAAGTCTCCAATATTCTCTGGTGTTTCGTATATTAATAATAATAGGTCGAGCATATGTGTATGTGTGGACAAGAGAGAGAGAGAAGCCAAGTGTTAAAAATTGGGAAATCTGGGATGGGGGGTGGGTGGGTGGTGATCCTATTTTTATGTTTGCAGTTAGTGGGAAAGAATTTCAAAACAAAATTTTAAAAATAAAAAGTAGCCGTGATACGTAAGCACTCTGAGGTTACAAATTTTCATCTGTCAAGGAAGCTCACTGTTATTCAATTTATTCATTCAACAAATATTTGTTAGACTCCTATTCTGGACCAGACATCGTCCCAGGTTCCCCACACACACACACACAAAAAAATGCAGTCTAGTTGACCAGGCTAAGGTCAGGTCTGCAGTGGGTTCCGTGGGGGCACCCCCACCATCCTTACCCCATTCCCCTTGGAGATCAAGCCTCCCCCTGACTGAGAAGCTGGCCTATGGCCACCACCAGGCAGTGCTTCCTGGGAACTGCCCTCACCTAAAGAGATCCACTCTGCCTCTCCCTGGCATCTGATGACTAGTTAAAGTTTGGGGGTATGGTTGAGGGCCTGGACCCCTTGCCTGGATTTGAGATAACTCTAAAGCCATATTCCAGCTTCAGACCTACCATAGGTTTGGCTCAGACTCTTACTCAACTTTTCCTTTTGCCCAAGAGCATGCCCCCAAGACCCTTGGCACACAACTTCCCTACCAGAGGTTGCGTCCAAGGAACAGGATCATTAGAGTCTCAAGGGGAAACAAATGCCACAGTCAAATTAGGATGGTTGGGTTATCTTTACTTTTTAAATACTTAACTAATTTGTTTGGTAGTGGGTACGAGGGGTCACTTTTCCACTGACCTACATCCCCAGTCCTTTTAATTTTTTATTTTGAGACAGGGTCTCGCCAAGTTGCTTAGGGCCTCCATAAGTTACCCAGGCTGGCCTCCAACTTGCCATCCTCCTGTCTCAGCCTTCCCAGTTACTAGGATTACAGGCACTGCGCCACCACGCCCAGCTGATTTTGGGTTATTGAAGGAATTATTTACAAAGGCTTGAGTGGGATCACAAGATACAACAGCGTCCTGGGGCTAAAAAACAACTGAGCTGTTATCAGCCCTGGGCCAGAAGCCCCATGGAGAAGTGGTTAGCAGAATCAGAGAATCTTGTGGAGAAAGCCACCTTTAGGGAGTGGGGTCCCTCAGCTGAGATGCAGCTGCAGCTGTAGCCACAGGAGCCGAGGGATAAGTGCCCTTCCTCATTCTCCTCCTCTCCTCTGACTCCTGCCAGGGATCCCACTGGCCAGACTCAGGCAGAGGCCACGTGTGTGAGGACCACTGATTCTGCCTGCACGTGGGAAAGCCAGCTGGGGCAGAGTGAGTGTGGCTCGGCTCAGGGGGACAGAGAGACATGACCTCCAGGGTACAGTCCAATAAACACCTGCTTCACATGCCTTTGAGAATCTAACAAAAGCTCTGGATTCTCCCAGGAAATGGGAGCTTAATACCCAGGTACATTTACACACCTCACTTTAAGGAACTCATGGATGCTCTCCTGAGAAGCCCGTGGGCCCCAGGTTCAGCACCACAGTGCCACTAGGTGACCGCTGTAAAATATGTCCAGCCCAGATTCAGGTCAGGGAATTCAATTCCATCTCTGCATGGGAGGAGTGGCAGACACGAAGCCTCACGACCAAGGTGGAAGAACCCCCACAGGATGCTGCCTTATTTTCCCCATGGGATTCCCACCAGGCACACCATGACCAATTGCTGGATGCTGACTTGTCATTCACACTGTGCTTCTGCAAGCATCCTAGCCCTCTCCTCGCCTCAGATCTCTGTGCCCAGTGCAGCTCCCAGTTCCTGACAACAGTGGTCACTTTGGCATTGGATGTTGTTTATCTGGGTCCAGATTCTAAAATGATCTGTGCACCCTAATGAGTGTCACTTTATCCTCCTCTAGAGGGATGGAGTTAACAGATACCACTGGTATTTAAATTATGTATCTGTGAATATATGAATTACATACCCATACTTATAAAGTTGCCACCTTGTACAACTCCAGTGAGGCACCCTTTTTTTAAAAAAAATAATTTTTATTTGTTCTAATTTCTCATACAGGACAATAGAATACATTTATGCACTTTGATATATCATACATAAGTGGGGTATAAATTTCTCAATTTTCTGATGGCACACACTGTAGAATCACATCAGTCATGCAGTCACATATGTATATAAGGTAATAATGTCTGTTTCATTCTACTATCCTTCCTATCCCCATACCCTCTCCCTTCCCTTCACTCCCCTCTACCTAATATAAAGTAACTCTATTCTTCCCTAGCCTCCGCCTGCCCCATTGGAAATTAGGATCCACTTATCAGAGAAAACATTCAGCCTTTGGTTTTGGGGGATTGGCTTATTTTGCTTAGCATGATTTCTCCATCTCCATCCATTTTACTGGCAAAGGCCATAATTTCATTCTTCTTTAAAGCTGAGTACTATTCCATCACATTTGTGATATATTTTCTTCATCTGTTCATCTGCTGAAGGGCACCTAAAATGGTTCCATAGTTTAGCTATTGTGAATTGAGCTTCTACAAACATTGACGTGGTCACTATAGTATGCCGATTTTAAGTCCTTTGGGTATAAACCAAGGAGTGGGATAGCTGGGTCAAATGCAATGAGACACTACCTGCTACCTACCAGCTAATGTCCAACAGGCCCCATTCACATTACAGACCACATAAATGGTGTCCCCTGGAATTCTGCAATATGCAACTCATACAACTGCATATGGCCTTCCTAGGAATGGATATTGACTAACAGTATATCTCACTCATTGAACCTGTGCATACTCTTTTAGGGCAGTGTCTCTCAACCTGGCTGTACATTCTAATCACCAGAAGAGGCCACACCTCCAACCAATTAAATCTCAATCACTTGGGGTAGGACCTAGGAATCCATATTTTTAAAGCTCCCTAGATGATTCCAATTAGCAGTTGGAAATGGTATTTTCAGGGCTCGTGTACAGAATCTTTGAAAAGGTTTTATTTT